AAAGTCTGCAAGGCTTCGGTGTAAATACAAAATATATGCAATCACTTGTACAAAAAACGTGTTCAGTCACAGTTAAACGAAATAAGTAAATTATTGAGCATGTAATTAGCTCCAACAACTTCATAACACCCACACTTGGTTGAAATCCAATAAGCAGTTTTCTAATTTTTCCGTACATTGATTAATTAGTATTTCTAAAAGAGCACTAAAATAACCCCATATGTTTATATAACCCCAAGGTACTAATATTTCAGATGTGTTTATAATTTAGCAAGATGTTCTCTGATTATTCTTAAAATATTTACCATAATTGCTCTATTGGGAGCGCATCTCCAATAGAAGCGCACAAAAAATTACATTTTTTATATACTGGATCATTAAATTGTGATTTATTTTGGTTTTAGACAAATCCCTGTAACTGGTTATAGTCAGCGAACATGACTTTACATCTCAACTAGAGAGTAGGTAAATTAAGGTGAGCCAAAAATGACGCGTTCAACAATCAGTGTGGAGAGCAAAATCTAGTACTTTCAATATACAATTGGTTGCATGTTACATCTGCAATGGTATCAATGGTCTTTGTTTTACATACACTTCTTGCAATTGTTGTTCATTGGCATGATGCAATACTGTTTCTCTGAAGCTGGTCAGCATCTGAAGCAAACAAGCAGTTACCAACATCATCTAGACTAAATACTATATATAAACCACATCTTTCCAAAATTGTACCAAGTTTGTGTGATTTTCCAGGAATCCCTATAGGAACAAACATAGAAGCATTGAGAATCAACATCAAAGTCAAGTAAATGGTCAGGGATGACTAAAGAGGCGTCAAAACCTGGTCTTGAGTTTCTGTTGAACTGTGATGGACTACGAGATCTCTGCCATAAATACGCATACACGCGGGGCAATAATACTCACCAAAAGTATATCAAATCTGTGAATTATCTCAGAGCACCCTTACAAATAATGCCATTTATTTTAAAGCGGTTCGGGAGAGTTTTTGTGACCGCATAGGCTTAATTGTGTTTTGCACACAGGAGCCAAAGATAAAAAAAATATCCGAACATCACAACAAAAGGCAACTGCAAAGAGTTGTTCATTTTCTAGTTAAAACAAATTTGTTTTGTTGTTGGTCATATTGTAACAATAAAAATACAATCATATTTCCTATAATATTGGATCATTAGAAGCACTGGCAGAATGGACAAAATCCTGTAGGAATTAATTAACAAAATCCGCAGGGCTATTTCTTAAGAGAAAAATATTACACACAGAGGAAATGAAAAAAAGGAAACAAAAATATTTTGCATTTTGCCTTCGCCCCTTCCTAATGGTTAACCCCAAAACAGGGATTTTGCTATCGATTGATTTTCCCTAATTATTTGGTATTTTACGATTTTTACGAGATTGTGACAT